TTAATTATAGTATTGTAAATATCATTTATATAGGAAGAAAGATTGTTTAATTTTAAATCACTTAATGAATATTTCATTTTCATTTGTTATGATAATTCAAATGATACGATACTTTATTATCATATAATTTACACATTAAACGAATTTATCATTACCATTTTGAATATTATAATCCTTATTTGAAATAACATTTAACTTTTTCATAAACAGTCCAAGATAAATATGAATGAGAAATATACCATATATAAATCAAAACATATGATGTAAATTATTATTAACAATATGATAAAAAGAATGAATTTATTTATTAAATCTAATATTGATGATATAAATTATGTTATTTTATTCTTCATTTCAATAATTAAATAAGAATGATAAAAACATATCTTTACAATAAAATGAATTTTAATATATTTAAATTGAATATAAATATATAACATCAACGAATTAATAAATATAGAGGAAACTAATAACATACTAAGTATTCTTTAATCAATCAAATTTTACATTAACCTTTTTGCTACGATAATTTTAAAAGACATATAGTTGACAATGACATTATTCATACACATTACGAAACTAATGTATTGAATCAGATATGAAATAACCAAATTATGATAAACACTAAATTAATTGAGCTAAACAAATATACCATAAGCCAAAACTAGTAAATTCAATGGTATTGATAATTAAATAACATTTCATTCAGATAATAGTATTTGTTTTATGTAATTGAAATGATGTATATACTAAAACAAATACCAATTTGAATTATCACGATTATATTAAGTTATATCATAATTATGTATATTTGTGATATTAGTTGATGTCTTTTCTCTTGTTTTCATCATTTGTTGTATTCAAAAATCATAAACATTCATGTTTTGTTTAATGAAAGTAAAAACATTAAAAGAATTCTTTATACTTTAATTTTGAACATTCATATTCTCTTTATCATTACATTGAATCATTCTAGTATTCTGTTCTGAAAATAACTTATTTTCTTAACAAAATCATCCTCTATCTTCATAATTCAATTGAATTAATTCATATAAATAATCAAGTATTATTTGTTCTCTTTATAAAGAAATACAACTCAAATAAATTCTGTTTAATATTGTTCATTCTTACATACACATTATCAACAATGAAACAAACTAGTTACAAATGATTTCAACTCATTTATTCATTATAATATTTGTTTTTCATTGTTTTTGAATGAAAAAACACTAAAATGTTGTTTACTCAATACAATAGTTAAATCAATGACAAATATAGATAGAAAATAAAAGAATGTACATAACAAATTCAATT